AAGGGAAACCGGTTCAAAACCAGTTAACCGAAAAAACCGGTTTCCCTCCAAACCGGTTCGGTTTCGGTTCGAGATTTTTCCGAACCGAAAAACCGGTTCGGTTCAAAAAAGCGGTTAACCGCTTTTGAACACCCCTAGCGTTCATCGTACTTTTCACCAGCTCGTCAAACCGGACTGCTTCTCTAGCTTTCCTTGTATTAAAATCGAAACGTTGTAATCATCGTTCACGGTAAAAAAAAGGCTTATTGAGTACCATAATACGCACTCATCGTACCATATTACGGTTTCTTTCTGAACAGGACAACGTTTAGTTATATCCGAAGTGGCAAATTTGACGCAATCTTGACAGTTTTTCTGTAATTGACATCACCACGGCAAAGAAAAGGTCGAAAACCTAGTTAGGGTCGTCGCCGGCAGTGTCGTTGACGTTGGAACAGTGAGATGACAAAAGATTGCTGCTGGTATTGGAGAGGAAAAGTTTGACGTTGGAATGATAGTGTGTTTGTTGGAGGTGGGCAAAACACAACAATGTTCTTATCATTTTGCTCTTATGACGTGAACATGAGTGGTGAAGAAGCAATCGTCTGACTATTCATTGCTCCATATCCTAATCTAATCACTCCCTTAACCAAAAATGCACTCTCCACTCCACTCAAATTTGGAGAAAATGAACAAGTCCTCAAAGATGACTTTGTAAATACTAGATTATAATATAACAAAATACACAAATATCTCTCTAAAACAAAACAAACAGTAAAGAAAGAAATTATACGCGCGATTTACCCTGGTTCACCCAATGTGGGCTACGTCCAGCTGAGTCAATATTATTGAAATATGTCTCACCTCTCTCGTTTACAATGAATGAATTGCTCTCACACTCATAACAAGAGAAAAGTATGTTTATATACTAGGTTTAAGAGATTAAACCTAGTTTTACAAAAATTCCTATTCTTAAGCCCAACCCAAAAAGGAATTAATAACTTAAAAGGAATCCTACAGCGGTTATACATGGAAAAGCCCAAAACCGCCTACGGGCTCAGGGGCGCTGCCCCCGCGACCCCCGCCCGCTGACCGGGCAGCAGGACCCTCGAGTGCGTCTCCGTTACCCATTAATGCTGAAGTAGTCGACAACTCCAACACGACCAAGCTCAAGGACCAAGATGCACGGTTTACTTGCCTGCTGCATTCTCTATACTTTCTACAATGATTTGTGGACACTGTATAGCTTGATCTATTTTCTAGGGAACCATCGTAATTTACCAAACTTAGCTTACTATCAGGAACTTGTTTGTCAGATTAAATACTATAGCGGGGTTGTCAAGTCAGACATGTGAAATGCTGGAAATAACAAATGCAATTGTCTAATCATGGCATTGTAACACAGTTTTGTGCCGGAAGGGTAAGCAATTTGGTAAAAAACTAAAATAACCAAGAGTTCCATATGTTTCAAAAAGATGGCATAGTTCTGTTCCTTTTAATTAACCTGGAATCCAAGTTCTTATCCTAGAATCCAAGTTCTTATCTTGTATTGCACTTAAGAACTTACTAATGGAACTCTGCTTTATGAATTGAACAGGCATTAGTAAAATACATTATTCTTTTCTATGTACAATAGCTTTCTTGTACACGAGCCAGAGTTTACTTGATAAGTTTGTGGACCAAAGAGTCAGAAATTAAAATACTATGGTTTCAAACTGGTGTCGTTTTAAGTTGCTATTACAGTCATGAAAGTGACTCTATTTTGTTGATAAAAAAATCCTTTGTGTAATTAAATTGAAGTTATATTGAGACAATTAAGAGAAATTATGAATTTACGTATAAAAATCATATTTTGAGTTTTTCTTACTAATTTGGCATGTTTGGATTGAAATTTGAGATTGTGTAAGTTGATATTAAGATGTGATTTATTTTCTAGGGTTGATGTTATCTCATTCATGTTGTTAAGGGGACAAATTGCAATAACACTTGGGGTTGATTTTGTCATTTTTCAATATGCAGTGACCAAATGTATTTGCCACATTTTGTATAAAAATGAAGTGAAAGGTCGCAAACAGGAGCCATCCGTGAAGGGACCTTCACCCATCGCCGGAGTTTGGTTGTCGGCCGGCGACTCTTTGCCTTCTCTCGCCGACCAGTCACTCTCCACCATCATTCACCCACGCCGGCGACATACCACCGTTTCCACACCGTGACACTTCACCTTCCACCGGAGTTTGCATCGTTTTTCGGTGCCGATTGAGCTCCTTTTATGCTGACCATCACTCCATCAACTTCCCATCACATTTCTGCCGCCGATCTACCCTTTTTCCGACGAGATCCATCACCTTGGTCTGACGACTCTTTGACTTCCCAACTCGATTTTGCTCACTTTCCAGTTACCTTTTATCTCCCTAAGACCTTATCCGAACTCCCCATCACCTGAGCTTTCCATCGGTACCTTCGGATCCCATTTCCGCCACCATTTGTCGAAAGACCCGTCGGAAAACTAACGTATTTCGGCGAGTGTGACTGTTCGTATTTCGGGCTGTCCATTGGTCATTTTTGCTCCTTCTTCACATCATCTCATTGTCGGTTACGTCCTCTTTGCCATGACAGCTCCATTCCCAACGTTTCGGCCTTCGTCGACACCACCATGAGCGGTTGAGCTCCTAGTTGCCTGTTACGATGTAGGGAGATCAGGATTGACACTCATGGATCTTCTTGGCAGTTCTCGACTAGTTGGATGGCCCGAATGTTGGATATTTGGTTAAGTTTCTTGTATTCAGATTATATTTGTTTTCGTTTCAGTTTGTTTGCGATGCTTTAATATTATTCTGATGCTCGACGTGCTAAATTGATAATGTCCATTGAGAACGTTTGTTGATATATAACTTTTCGCATAATTGAATCTCAGTTTGAGATTATTGAATGTTGATTATGACTTTAAACTACTTCAGTACTGATTGCAATCAAGTTGTATTAGCGTTTAATATCATTTCTACCAGGAATGCATTTGTTGTGTAATTAATTAATTGGATGATACAAGTTGATAGGTCGTACTTGTTAACGTTGTACCAACTAGTGGTGTTTAAAGGTTTAGCATTTTTCGGTTAGTCAATGATAATCTTTAACCAATCGATCTGTAACTAAGACGACGGGGGGACAGGATAGATTATACCTAGATTGCCAGGAGATATTTTTATTGATTTGCCTAGCCTTGTAGGTTTAGGAAATTGAAGAGTAGGGAGAGGAATTGTGGGAGTTAGTCTTAAGTCGAACTGAATCTGTAGCGGCAACCCTTTTAATATTGTGTTTTAGTTAGCAATTTATTTTATGCTTTTAATTTCCTGCAATTAATTAGTCTCCTTAGTTTTAATCAATCAATTTGTCAAGTTCCCTTTCGTTAACTCAAATATACATTAGGTTTGTAGTCTTGCTCTCTGTGGATTCGACCCTGCTTACCGCTAACTATGGTATTTAGGTTTAATTTTGTGGTCTAACGACCAGTTCGACAATTGCCTAATTTGTACAAAATTAGTCTCCATTTTACACTGATTACTTGCCACTGATTTGCTTGACTAAAATGATATAAAGTTAGCAATCTTTGTAGTCTGTCTATTTTTTCATTCTCTTAATCAAAGAATTTGGGATTCATTTCTCGTTTCAATTCTCTCAAATTGATTTTCTCAATTCTTAAGGTTCACATGGTATCAGATCCTAAGACAAACGTCAATGGCAAAGATCTCCGATTCTAATCAGTCTAGAACTAGTTTTGAAAAGATGATCCACAAACGTCGAGCTCTTTTAGCTCCATCAAGTCTTCAAGTTGTAACTCCAAAATTAACCAGAGATAACTACAGAGACAATTATCTCTTTTGGAAATCTCAAGTTCTTTCAACTGTAGGAGCTCATAAAGGGTAAGCATTAGTACAATGTTGAGTGAATGAGGTGAAATTAAGTCAAAAGAAAAAGTTAATCCTGCCTATTTTCCTTGGAAAAGGACAGATAAATTTTTAGTAACCTGACTGTTAGCTTCGATCTCTGAGTGCATGTTTGGATATGTGTCAAAATGTCAATGGTCTACATCCATTTGTTTAACTCTTGAAAATGAATTCCTAAATGATTCTAAGTCCAAAGCTCTTCACTTAAAAACTCTATTTCAAGCTACTCAGAAAGGGAACCTTAGTATTAGTGATTATATCGAAAAAATGAAAGGAATAACTGAGAGTTTATCAACTAGTGGTCAAATGATCTCTGATGAAGATTTGTTGCAATTCATTTTATTTGTGATTGTTAACCTTACTTCACAAATTGAGTCCAAGTTTGACTTAGTTACCTTACAAGAAGCACAGTATTCGCTTCAAAAGTATGAAATGAGGATTGAAAGTTTAATTCTGCTGATTTTTTAAATAGCCCTATTAATATGGCTGCATTAGCACCCCAAGATCTCATTCTCTTTACACCAATCCTTTACCTACATCAGTATCATCACCATCCATTACTATGTCACCTATTAGATCCTTTAACCTGCCAAACAATTTTACCTCAGTTCTACCTGTCCATAATCCTCCCAGTCATCTGTTGCATCAACATTATCCTCCCTATTATGGATTTCCTACTCATAGTGTACCTGCATTGAGTGATCAATTTCATGCCTCAGCTCATATAGGACAATATGGAGTTCCTTTTCAAAGTTATAGACCATCTGGGTGTTCCTCCTTTTGTTAGAGGTAGAGGAAATAAACTTTGCAACATAATACTGTTATACATTATAAACCTCAACAAATCCACCTTCACCCAACTTGTTATCAGTTGAGAAATTGCTTGTGACTCCTTTAATTGCCCCAGAATCAAATTGCAAGGCCTTTGTAATGTCATTCCCTGATGCACAGAGTGTAAACTATAAGTAATACTATACATTCCACGAATTTAATTAAAAAAATTGGTGTATAAACTTGAAAAGAGTGCAAAAGTGGGACATGAAAGATTAATAATATTGTAACTATTTAAAGTAATTTTACCAAAATCATCTTCCTGTATATCACTATTCTTCTTTATTGCTCTCCTACTTATGAGACAATATATCGCAATGGAAAGCACCACAGCGACAGCAATTGAAGCAATGATGGCAATGATTATTGAAGTTGAGATTCGGCTTCTTCCTGCAAGAAACAGGAAAATGTTTCATTAGATATGCAAGAAATTAATGAGTATTTTGGTAAAAATTTTAATTTCTAATTCAAAGTGCGTTCTAGTTTACCTTCAGGTCTTGTCACAGAAGCAAGAAGCGGAGGAGAGTGAGGCACTGCCGGAGCCAAAGTTCCGTTTTCATTATAAAACGGGTGCAGTTCATACCGGCAATTACAACTCGGATACAGCATTCTTCCTCCTTGCTGCGTCGTCCGCAACTGTGAAATGGATTGTTGAAGACATCTCTTACAGTCAAAACTTGAAAGGTTCCTGTGTGCACTGTGCAAGACAGTACAGTGATTGGGAGGATGTGAAATTTCCCCTTTTCGTCATGAACCTTTTCCGAGAATTTGCAGCCTGAGTTACCGTCTCGTTCATCATTCTCTTCACTAGCTCGCTAAACCGGACTGCTTCTGAAACGCTGTCTACATTAGCCATCATAACTCCCCCGTCATCATCCACTGTAGAGAAGAAAGGCTCATTTGAATAACGTAAAAGGCACTCGTCGTAGCCTATTATTGCTCCTTTCTGAACAGGGCAACGTCTAGTTACATCCGAAGTGGCAAAATTGACGCAATCTTGGCAGGTTGTGGAATTGAGATCACCCCGGCAAAGAAAGAGGCCGTAGACCTTGTTGGGGTCGTCCCCTGCGGTGGCGTTGAAGAAACCGTTATGAGTGACATAGTGACATGGGAAGAAAGCGAAGTGAACAAAAGATTTCGGTTGGTTTGATAAGTGTTGTTCCCGGTGGAAGTAGAAGTGTTTGGGCAAATGTGATAAAGGTAAGATGGATCGGTTGCATTTATCAAATTGATCAGAGAACACAGAAGATAGACAAACTTGAAAAAAAAAAAAAAAAAGAATTTACAGGAAGGCATGTTTATTCTTTTGTAGCGGAGAACTCTGGAATTTTTCTAGAAATCAATTATCATGAAGCTAGTATATAGTTATAACGTATTTTATGAGATTTATGATGAGAACATAAATGGAGAAGATGACTAATTAGGAAAGACTCATATGTTGTAGAAGTCAATTTAGAGGTGGAAAAGTGGCCCGACCCGCAATGGTTGCAGGCCAAAACTAACCTAGCCCGCCAACAAGTGTGGGCCGGGTTGTCCAGCCACTTTTTCAAACGGGTGGGGTGGGCCCCATTAACACAAACCTGACGGGTTTTTGTGTAGGTTGAGCCAGGCCGGGCCAGGCCACCAAAAAAATTATTTTTTATTTTTTAATGTTTTTGTCTTTTCTGTAATTTCTTATAGTTAACTTTTTAAATATTAATTCAATTCAATTAATTTTTTGTAGTTAACTTTTCAAATATTAATTTAATTTTAATACAATTAAATTGTAATATAAGAAAAATTAGATTTATTCATTTATCAAAAAAGAAAATAAGAAATAAGAAATTACAACAATTATTGTCTTATTAAAAAACTTACCAATTTGGTGGTACAACCTGGTCCAAATGATCCAACCTCTGTTCATCGTTTGGATAGCGTTATCGAACTTCTCCAAGTAACCAATCAAAGCAAGCTCTGGTTGGGAAGTCGACAGAATGCCCTACTCCGCAACAGTTTGGGAAGGAGTTACTACTTCAGGTGTAATAGTCTCCTGATTGCTGGGAATTTCCTCGTTAATTGTGTCAGAGCGCTTGACTTCAAAACCATGAGCTATGAGTTTTGTGATTAGCCTTTGAAGGTGAAACTGACTGATCAGTTGAGAATACCGGATAGAGAGCTAATGTGAATTTGAGCCCTCCTTCTAGCGTTAAACTATTGATGCGTGATTTTGACACCAACGACCTCGCATATGTAAAGTGATAACAAGGTCTTAAAAGTTACACGTGATTAATTACAAGAATTGATTAGAGGATGCTATTATCACAATAACATGCAAAGACTCAAAGTAAATAGGACGATGAGAATTTTATAGTTGCTCGGATGTTTAAAGCGAATCTTATATCTATTGTTTTCTTTTATATTAGTCTTCTTGATGATTAACCAAGTTTATAAGAGGTCACAAACTGCAAACTGAATTACAAATGCTTGGTATTCTGGGAGAATATTAAGTCAGTCTCTTTCTCATGGGGTGTCTTTTTTATTTTCTTTATTGAATTCAAAATGTTTGATCCCGATTTTGTGAGGGGAGCTATCTATTTATACTCATTAAGTTCTAGGTAATAATTATAAGTCTGAAAGTGAGTAGGTGTCGTGCAAATCCTTCCTTGCGTCCCATTGGTTGATAACTTAGAAAATATCCTTAAATTAAATGGAGATTGGACAGGTGTGCGAATCAAATTCATTCACAGACAAAACTTGAGCTGGTTGAGTTGTTGACAACTATACGCTTTCTGTCTTGGGGCAACGTGGCAGACCCTAGATGGCACAACGTCTTCCTGAACTCTTATTGGTACTCGCTAACACAAGCTTACATCAACCTGGATTTTTTAGGCATAACAACTAAGGGTGTTCAAAAGCGGTTAACAGCTTTCTTGAACCGAATTGGTTTTTCTGTTCAAGAAAATTCCTGAACCGAAACCGACCCAATTTAGGGAAAACCGGTTTTTTTGGTTGACCGAAAAACCGATTAACCGGTTTCCCCCTTAAATTGGATTAAACTTATTTTTTAAATTTTTTTCCTAAATTAAATTGTAAACATTAACAATACATAACCAAATAAAAATTAAACATTCATAAATATCCATTGACCACAACTAACAATATATTAAAAATTGATACAAATAAATTTAATTTTTGTTTTATTTTAATGTATAATATCGATTAAGATTATATATATATATATTAACATCCCTAATAACAACAAAGTTGTATGCAACAATTGCAATAGTGTTCCATCTCTCCAGTGTTTCCAAGCCTGCAATAATAATCAAGTACGTAAAGATATTGACTCTTAACATAGTGAAAAAGTAAATACAAAGTATTTATTTTGCTTACTTAGCTCATGAGATTCTCAGCACCATCCTGGTCAAAACTCAAAAATAGTTGTACGCTATAAAACAACGTGTGCTAAATGTTTGACATATAAACTTAACATAAATTTCTCGTTTTACTTCTCATGCTTGCAGATAATGATCAAAACGTTTGAATTTTTCACGTAAAGAATCCATATGTTTATCTATAATTTAAATCCATAATTTTTCATCACTGTGTCAAATAGTCTCGCCATTATTATAATTAGTTGGTGAGATTGTCCTTTTCTAAATTATATATATAAGATGATAAAGATCACCTAATAAAATAAGAGTAAACGACATTTTCCCACCCAAGGTTTGTCTTAAGATCCTTTTCCACCCAAAAAGTTTTACAATACCACTTTTTCACCCAAAATTTATATTCTGTTAATACTTAAAATACACTTTACTCTTTGAGTTAGCATTCGACGAGTTATCAGGAGACAGGATAAGAGGGGTTTTGTAGAGTAGAGGCCCGTGGATCGAATGGTGGTAATCGATTGAATATTCATAATCAGAATCATCTAAGAAAATGAAACTTTAACTTTGCGGTGGTCGACAATTGATGAAAAATCAGGTACCGAAGTGAGAGAGATTTTGTATGTAAAGGACTGAAGGTTCAAATGATCATGATGGAGAGAATTTTGGTGGTCAAAATCGGCTTTAGGTTGTAATAAAATATTAACTTTGAGTTAGAAAATTGTATTTTGAAACTTTTTAAATGGAGAAATGTGAGGAAGGCAATCCTTGGGTGGGGAACAGTCGTTTACTCAATAAAATAATGTTATATATTGTTGTACACGTGCTAAATTTTTTATTTCATTCGACCGTCAATTACATTTTATCATTCATCAAGCCACCTATTATTTTAAATCACTCTTTTACCGTCGCATATATTTACCATCTTCAAAATATATTTCTTACTTATCAAATGCTAGAGCTTTATAGCAACTACACATGATTATAATTTCGAATTCAAACAAACCACACAGTGCGTTCTACTTTACCTTTAGGCCTTGTCACAGAAACAAGAGGTGGAGAAAAGTGAGGCACAAGTGTCGGTGCCATTGCTGCACTCATGTTTTCATTATGAAACGGGTATAGTTCATACCGACTATAACAGGTTGGATTCAGAGCTCTTTCTCCAACTTTTGTAGTTTGCAATTCTGCAATAGAGTGGTGAAGACATCTATTACACTCAAAACTTGAAAGGTCCTCCGTGCACTGGACTGGACATTACAGTGATTAGGGGGCTGTGAAATTTTCCCTTTTTGTCATGAACTTTCTGGGAGAATTTGCAGCCTGAGTTGCGTTCATTAGGGGTGTTCAAAAAAAATGTAAAAACCGAACCGATAACCGAACCGAAAAACCGGTTAACCGAAAAAACGGTTCGGTTACGGTTCGAAAAATTTAAAAAACCGAATTTTCGGTTCGGTTACCGTAGCATTCATACCATAATAAAATAGTCAAACTTTTGTTGGAACCCAATTCAGATCATATCTTTTCTTCTCCCTCCAAGCCAAATCCATCAGCCCTCACCAAATTTTTATGTGTTGGAGCTTGGCTACCACTACGATGTCTTCTGGCAATTCTGCAGAACCTTGGCAGATCTTCTCGAGCTCTTACGGCTGGCTCTCCATAGGAATATCCCTGAGAATGTTCTTAATCATCACTAAGATCATGAATTCCTCTGAAACCTTCTGAGAAAATGCAACACAATAATTGTTAAATGAACCTGAAACCCACCAAAATCCACCTTCAACACCTCTTTATTATCAGTTGAAAAATTGTTTGTGGCGACTTTATATTGCGCCCACATCAAATGCAAAGGCTTTGTAATGTCTTCCCTTATGCACAGAGTGTAAACTATAAGTATACTATACTTCCAAACCATTAATTACAAAGTTGGTGTATAAACTGAAAAGTTGCAAAATGGACATGAAAAGATTACTAATATGTGACTATTTAAAAGTAATTTAACCAAATCTCGTCCCTGTATATCCCTATTCTTCTTTATTGCTCTCCTACTATGACAATGATTCGCAATGGAAAGCACCACACGACAGCATTTAAGCATGATGCAATATTATTGAAGTTGAGATTCGGCTTCTTTCTGCAAGAAACCGGAAAATTTGTCATTATATCGATAAGTTTCATGAAGTATTTGGTAACAGTTTTAATTTCTAATCCAAGTGCGTCCTAGGTGTTCCCTTCAGGTCTTTGTCACAGACGCATAGGCGGAGGAGATTGAGGCACTGCTGTAGACGCAGTCTACGTTTTTGAGTATAACCTGTAAAAGTTTATACCGGCTATACACCACTCGAACAGCAAGGCTTCCTCCTTGCTGCTCGTCCGCACGGTTGAAATAGATGTTGAAGACATTCTTACGACAAAACTGAAAGGTCCTGTGTGCACTGTGCAAGACGTACAGTGAAGTTGGGATGTAAATTTCCCCTTTTGTTCGTCATGAAACCTTTTCCGGAGAATTTGCGCCCGTTACGCGTCTCTTCTCAGTCTCCTTCACCAGCTCACGAACCGGACTGCTTCTTAAACTGGCGTCTACATAGTCATCATAACACCCCCGTCAATCAGTCCACTGTAAGACAAAGGCCCCATTTAATAACGAAAAGTCCTCTTCATAAGCCTATTATTGCTCCTTTCTGAACCCTGGCAATGTCTGGTTCTCAATGGCAATGCGTCAATCTTGGCAGGTTGTGAATTGAGAATCACCCCGGCAAAGACGAGGCCGTAGGACCTTTTGGGGTCGTCGCCTGCGTAGGCCTTGAAGGAACCGTTACGATTGACATGGGAAGAAAGCGAAGTGAACAAAAGATTCCTGGTGTTGATAAGTGTGTGTTCCTATGAAAGTATAATGTTTGGGCAATGTGATAAGTAATTTCGGTTGCATTGTATCGAAATTGATCAATAGCACAGCAGCCAACAACTGAAAACAACCAAGAATTCTGCCAGGCATGTTATGCCTTTTGTATCAGAGAACTCTGGAATTTTTCAGAAATCAATTTCATGAAGCTAGGTATATATTCTACTATTTTATGAATTTATAATGGAGAACATAATAGAAATGACTAATTATTAAAGACTCATTTGTTTACGAAGTCATAAAGTGGAAAAGTGCCTCGAACCCAGCCCGACCCAACGTTGGCCATGCCAACACCCAGCCGCCAACAAGTTTGGGTCAGGTTTAGCCCGTCATTTTTTAAAGGAGCAGCAGGTCCCTTAACCCTACCTGCGGGTTTTTTGTCAAGCCGGCACCAAAAAAATTTTTTTTAAAAATATTTTTGGTCTTTTGCTGTATTTTTGCTTTTAGTTAACTTTTCAAATATCCTTCATTCAAATTGTGTATTTTTTAGTTACATTGCAATACAATTCATTTTTAATACAATTAATTTAATTAAAAATTAGTTTATTCATTTAATCAAATAAATAAATAGAAATAAAATTACAATAATCTTGTTCTCCTTAAAAAACCCCTTACCAATGTGATGGGCCAAACGCTGGTCCAAATGATCCAACATTTGGTTCCTCATTTGGAGAGCATTATCAAACTTTTTAGTAACCGCTCAAGCCAGGCTCTCCTGGGAATTCGAGGGAATCTTTTTCTTTGAACAGTTTGGGAAAGGTTACTACTTGGTTGCCATTCTCCTAATGTAGGGCATTTCCTCGTTATTGGTGGCTCAAGCGCGGTCGCTATCAAAACCCGAAACAAAAAGCCCATTAGTGTGTGTGGGTAGCCTTGAAGGTGAAACTGACTGATCATTGATATACCGCTAGAGAGCTGATGAATCTATCCCCCTTCTAGTAGGGCTGAAAAAAAACACAAAACCAAAATCGCACAGAAGTCGAAAAACCAGACCAAAAACCCGAACCGAAAAATGTTTTTCAAATACTCAGTTCGATTTCTGTTTTTTAAAATCATTAGTCAAACCGAATTTTCGTTCGTTAACGGTTAATAAGATAATAATTAACCGGTTAACCGAAACCGTTTTTTTAAAATCCCTATGTTTTTTCCCTCCTTTTTCCTGGTATGGCTTGACGCAACCTCTAGCTCGTGCTACTTCTGCGCCTCTACCATTTTCTGGTTTGGGTTCCTCAACAGCCAATACTTTTTTTTCTTTCACCTTTTTTCTCTTTTCTTCTTCCTTTCTCCTTTCACTGATTTTCCTTTCTTTTTTCTTTTTTTTTATCCAGTTTTTTTTGTCTACACATTTTCGTCTTCTTCTCTTTCTCTCTCTTCCCCAACTTTGTTTATCTTTTCACTATTTTTCTCTTTCTTCGTCTTCTTTCTCCGTTCTTTTTCAAGTTTTTCTTCATATTTGTGTCTTCTTCTCTTCCTCTCCGTCCCCATTTTCCTTTTTCTTTTTCGTCGTCTTCTCTTCGTCTCCTCTCCCCTTTTCTGTTTTCGTTTTCGTCTTCTCTCCTTTCACTTTATGTTTTTTTTTTTCTTTTTCGTCTTCTCCTTTTCTTCCTTTTCACTCTTTTCTGATTAATTGGATAATAGCGAGAGGAGAACACACTTCATAGCCGTCGTCTTCTTCATCATTTGGTAAAGCACTACTTTTAATTCATACAAAAAAACAAAAATTGGAAAAAAAATGGGCCGAAAAAGCAGGTGCCCATACTTCATATTGTGGGCTCCAAATGCAGCCCATAATAACCCGGTCCGCCGAACCGAAATTTTTAGTTCGGTTGAGATAACTGTGGTTTTTAACGCGAAACCGGTTGGTTTTTCCGTTCAATTATTTTTTGATTGAAAACTGATCGGTTCCTTTCGGTTAACCGTTTTTTCCACCTCTAACCTTCTAGCGTCAAAACTGTTGATACGTGATTTTTGACATCAATGATCTCGCATGTGCAAGATGCATAGAAGGTCTTAAAAGGTACACTTGATTCATTAGAGAATTGATTAGAAGAGGCTATTACACAACCCATGCAAATACTTAAAGTAATCTGCGAGAGACTTTTATAGTGGTTCGAATGCTTAAAGCGAATCCTACTCAATTGTTTCTTTTCTTATGAGGTTAATGATGATTAACCAAGTTACTAGGTCATGTGTATGCGAACTGAATTAACAGTGCTTGGTATTCGGGAAGACTATTAGCCATCTAATTTCTCGTGGGATGTCTTTTCTAGTTTTATTTATTGAATTCAGATGTCCTCATCCCAATTTTGTTAGGGAGAGCTTCCGATTTATACATGTTTTAAGTTTGCAATGATGATTACAAGTCTGCAAGTGGGTAGGTAGCCATGCAAATCCTTCCCTGCGTCCCATTAGTTGATAACTTGGAATATTAATAAATAAATGAGCTTAGAAGGTGTTGAACCAATTCATTCTAGACAACTTAGCTTCTAGGTTGTTGACACTATATGTTTTTTGTCTTGCGTCGACGTGGTAACTCTGTACGACTCAAAGCCTTCTTGACTTTGATTGGTGCTCACGTGACTAAGCTTACTCAGCCGTTGATTTTTTAGGCATACACTAGGGGTGTTCAAAACGGGTGACCGAACCGGTTACCACTTCCTTGACCAAACTGTTTTTTTTGGTTTAGGAAAACTTCCGAAACTAAGAATCGACCGTTTAGAGAAAACTGTTTGAACCATCCTTAAATATGGATTAAACTTTTTTTTTAAATTTGCTAATAATTGTAAACTTCAACAATACATGAACAATAAAAATTAAACCTTCTACAATATCCACTGACCACAACTAACAGATTTGTTGATACAGAATAGCACCAACAAGAATTCTGATTGACCTTGGCTTGCCGACTCGTAATGGATTGCGCATGATTTAATGAAATAACATGAACAAAAGGGAAAGAGTCCAAAATAAGACCCATAGACAATTTTTAAGTGGTTCCAAGTTAGAACTTGAGCCTTGTTCCATTGTTTCTCTTCTTGAATGAGAATTACAATGATAAATCTTTTCCTAGAACAATTGCCTACCCCCAAAACAAGTTCTGAATGTTTTAAGTAGCACTCATTACATGATAGAGTGAGGTAAGATTCACATTACGAGGATTCGAAAGTTGCAAACGATCTTCATTATCTTAGTTGGAATC